AATCTTAGCTACGTGGTTAAGAAAATTCTGTCATTTTGCACACTTGGAAGTACTGAAAATCCCGGGAATCTTTTATTGGTCACTGGGCAATTTAGCTTCTAGCTCATATTAGCTGCTGTCATTAAACAATGACCAGAATAGTTAATTCTACTTTTCTTACTGGATTTGCTTACTACAATAAATGCATTTGCCAGTCCATGTAGTACCGGTGACCTGCGAACTGTTCAGGGTCACCGGCAGGATCCTGAAGGATCAGCAATTAGGTCCTTAGTAAAAGCTCTTTTTCCCTCAAACTGGCAGTGCTCAGTACAGAGGACATCTGGATCATTGTGCACAGCATAGTGCTGGCAGAAAGTCCAAGCAAGGCTAGACAGTTCCGGATACAAGCCAGGGCTAAGTTACCCATTGGAACTTTAATAGGACAATTTTGATTTAGTTGTTCAAGTTTATTTGTTACTAGGTATATCAAGAAAATATTGCCTAATAATGACTTTTCAGTAGCCTAAAGAAATATCCCACATAATTTTCTAGATTCTTCCAAAAGATGTTTTCCATGGAATAGCATTTGCTATCCATGGATAGCATCCATGTCACGTAACACCTATTTCCTAACTGCAGTGATGGGGCATGTCAAGTTGCATTTATTATGAGACTTTGATTACTTTTTTTTTACAGACCGATTCCTAAACCATCCCCCCACAAGGAACTACTTACATGAGAATAACATAGGCCTCTGAATAGTTTTGAAGATTCACCAACCACCCTGTTTAAGACCATTAATAAAGTGTAATTCTCCTCTACTAGGATGAAATATCACTCTAAATGATGCTGCTGAAATTCAGAAAGCCAGTGATTCATGTACCAGCAAACAAATTAAGATATTAAAACTGATAAGCACTATTTGTATGAAGCAATGTAACTTTAATTATACCTAGTAGAATAGTCTTGAGAAATATCCTCCAAAGAATGCAAAATATTCAGTCATTTTAATGTCCAATCCATCTTTGTGATGTTTACATAGCTATAATTGCTTTTATGGAAAGACAGCATTAGAAAACTTTTGGCTACTTGAAACGAGGACAGCCAGCACAACATAAGTAGGCAAGAACTTGTGACACCATTAGCTTCTCCGTTAACTCATAAGTAAATTGCACATCTTGACACCACAGTTAATATCTACAATACAATTAATCAGCTGATGTAAATTTGTAGAGTCAAGACTGAAACAACAACAAAAAGCTGAACTTCTCCAGCTTGAAAGTTGAAAATAAGTTTAAGACTATAAAGTTCATGAAATACTTGCAGTAGTCAGATACCTTCCACAAAATAAAGTTTGCTGCACATAACATCTAATCCAGAATTGTGCTAGCACCTGGTTTGTACTTAAAACATTTGTCATTGTATTGGTTAAAAGCATAACATACAAACTGTAGTCCACAAACCCTAGCTTCACCATGAATACCTAAAAAAAGCACTTCTACAAATGTAATCTAGTTAAGGATCTAATGTAGGTTGCATTTTCACACAAGTCTTTCAAGTATGAACAGGTCTGAAATCAGTGGTTAATGTCTAATGTGATAGAAGTGGACAAAGATATTCCATGCTTAAATTTGCATATTGGAAAAATATACCAGTGGTCATAAATCTGATGCAGAACTGTAGATACTAGTAACTATTCAACTCTTAAATATGAGGGTTTTTTGCTCCTGTGCTTGTGAGTTTTCACAACTTCAAGAATTATTTCCTTATTATTGGAAATATAAAATTGCACAAGCTGCTTACTTGAGAGCATCTTGTTTTCACATGAACTACAGTCTGAGAAATCACTTACATGTACAATCCACTCTACAGCTGATTACTTCAAACTTTTCTTCATCAAGCAAAATAATTCTGATGTTGCAGTTAGTTTTTGTTACCTCCTGACTCTGAAAATGATACATTGTCAAAGATTTAGTTAAGGTTAGTGAAAGACTGGTAATTCCTCTTATTTCTATTTTATAGAGTAATTCTAGCTAAATCTAATTAGGAAGACCTTTAAAGTAAATTCTAAATAAACCATTGTAAAAGCAAAAATTAAAATCCTTTATACACACCTCACTTCACTAAACTAGTGCAAGTTTACACATAGACAAGACCTCAGCAATTTAGGAACACTTTGAAATTAGTTTAGCTAATCAAAATTAAGACACTAGCTTGCCATAGACAGCTTAGAAAATACAGCTTGCTAGAAACAAGCTGGACCAGCCAGAACAGATAGGCGTACTGGGAACAGAAGGGCAAAAATTAAGACGGCTACAGAGACTTAATTGGAGAGAGGCTTGGGTTTGTTTTAAGTAACCACACCACTGTTTAAGTACTCAGCATTGAAAGCTGATGGCAATCTGTATGGGAGACCAAAAGAAGAAGAAAAAAAGAGGCAGTTCCTAATGTTATCTCCCCTACAATCTCCATTTCTACACAAATAGTTGCAATTCAATATTATTACGGTATCAAGTCGAGTTTCCTGAACTCTGAATCAGATAGTCTTTAGAGGAAAAGTTTCTAGTTAACATTAAACTTTTTCATTAGGTTATTCAAGAGAATGCACTGGGAGATGAAGCAGCGTGAGGCATAGCACTTCTGTTGTGGGAAGCCAGAGTTCAGCATGACTCGTCATTAGCCATAAAGCACAGCATCCACCTTCCAGGCCTGACATTCTCAAACTGGGAAGTCCATACTCTGAACTGGTACAGCCGGTCCGGGCTGCAGGTGCTCCTGCAGTAGCAGGCAACAAAGTACCGCTCAGGCTGCGGATGCTTTCTGAACCAAATACCTCCCCACACATCTACACAGAATACCAAGTGAGAAAAGAGATGGTATACCTGCAAACCTCACCCCTCCTCCTCCTGTGCACAGCCCTATCACAGCTCTGTCCACGGTGCAGGTATATGTACAAACGAATCCCTCATTTTTCAGTTAAATCCTTCAGATTTTTAAATTAAACAAGTTCCCAGACATTTAGTAACAACATTGAAAGAACTATTCACACTCATATTTTTGCCCTTTACACACAGGTATTTCTTGAGCATGTTGCATCAAAAATAATAAAGATTCACAACATTCTCATGTCTGCAGAGCGTTAAGAAGAATTTTAATTTTCTGAGTTTTTGGTATCACAGAGAACTTGTGTTTGATACAAGCTACCTTATTACACAGGAAAAAGAAAAAATCATCATTTACAGTGTTAAAATACAACAAATTGGGGTGTTTGCAATTTGTGAATGAGACATAGTATCACCAATACAAGCTTATTCCTGGAGGGAAAAAAAAATCTATTAGTGTAGTCTTCAATGTAATTAACATGGGATTTAGAGAGAACTATTTTGAATTCATTTTTATAATAAAAAAATTAAGTCTATTTTCTTAAGAGCTTAACTACGTGTTAAGAAGATACTATTTTGATGCTCATCAAAATTTAACTATTTCTAAGTTAAATTCATTATTCAGGTGTCCTCAGACACTCATCCATCCAGTTTTATGCACACAAAACCATTAGTACCAACAAAGGCTGGGATATTAAGCCTGGCTATATAGCATCTTTCTGCACTTGAAGCAAGCAGAATTTGTACAAATGGCAGACTTTAGCATCTGACAATGCTTTACTAATCCTATTCTGGTTTCCATTTTTACCAAAAATGGATTAAAACCTCTTAAAAATCTTCACCTGTACTTTCTGTAAGATTCAGCCATATTCTCAGTAACGCTGTTATTGAAGTTAGAAGTGCTTAAAGAGACTTTATTCTCCAGCCAGCTGCATTAACGAAACTATATTCCCCATTATTTTAGTCTACATTGGTACATGCTAGGAGTTACCTTGCCTCACTGGGAGTAAAAGAGAAAGTAGCCACTATTCAACTGCAGGTGTTAAAATAGCCTGGAATCCAATTTGTCTCTAGAATCCTGGAGACAAATTAAGTCTCAACACACCCCTATAAAGTGCAGAAATTAAAGATTCAGTGAATTTCTGTACTGCTGGAACACTGAATTAGTAAAGTTTCTGCATGATCCATTTTTACTGACACAATACCTTCAAACAGGTTCAGATGTTTAAATCACACTGAAGTTATTGCCATTTCAGAAACAAGTATAAGGCAACCGACATATTTTGGTAGTTGCCCACAAATTCATGCAGGAACTTTTGCACTACAAGCCTACCTTTTTGCTGAAGGACTATTACAATTTTTGAGCCAAGTTGTTATTTTAAGACTCTGTCGCCTGAGGAGACAGGTCAGGTTCTACCATCTCAATAACCCTGTTAACAGTGAAGACTGTGGGAAAGCATGAAAACCTGGTGACCTGGGCAGGGAGGACAAGACTACTCTACGTCAGCTAGAACTCAAGAATACTCAGTATACAGTAAGCTACAAAAACATTTCAGGGACATCTCTTGGTAGTCTATGTTGCATACAGAAAAGTTTACCATTAGAATAACTTATACAAAAAAAGCCTTATTTCACTGAGATCAATTTTAAAAATACTTACTGCTTTTTAATTTGTAGAACAGCACACCTGCGGCTTCTAAAGTGACCAGAACATTGACTAACCATCCTTTAGTCTAGAAGACTAAGACATTCTTCAGCCAAACGCTATCCAGAGAAGTTATTTTACTTAGTGGTCCCTCATAACTTGGCTCTTTGAGATTGCAGACTTGCACTAAGGATGGCTGTAATCCATGAACTGTAAACATGGATCAGTTAACCTAAACAGGAATGGAAACGTCTTGAAATCATTTAAGCATGCATGAGTAAGTAAAGAGGGGAATAAGAGAGGGTAATAAAATGAAGCAGGAGTAGTCAATATCTAAGACTAAGACAAATTAAGTCATTCAAGTGTTTCCTCCCCTCTTCTGTACAGTGTTTGATAGTGAAATCAAACTCACCCATTTTGCTGCCTTCACCACTTTGCCCCTGCAGGCTAAAAATGCATTCCCAGCAAGAGTTCTTTAAATAAAAAGCAAATCCTTTAAATGAAAATTTAAATTTATTTTGAGATTTTTAAATGTCATTTCTATCAATTTAGACACGCTGTTTGACATTATCAGATCAGAGAATTTACAGTGACTCACGGATAAAGATTTGGTTTTTACATTCAAATGTTAAGTACTTCAGAATAGCTTTGTCTTGTTATTCCCAAACCAGAAACACTAAAAAGCATTTTATTTTGCCTTTCAACCATCTTTGTTAATTAACAGACTTTTAATATCTGCTGTACTTGAAAGGGAACATGCACAACACCAAAGGAATTGCTTTGTTTGAATTAAGCGAGTACCTTAATTACAGTTCCAGATTTAAGACTAGTTCATTGTAGCATCAAAAGGCAGTGCTAAGTAGAAAGAGAAGGTTTTTCTTTTTTTTAAATATATTTTCCTCAGGTAGACTGCAGAGCCTCACCTACTTGGAAAGCCTCTTTATGAAGATAAAAAGGTCTTGCTGTCCAATGTTAACATCATACGGTCTTAAAGTTTAGAATTCCATTGCTATCCTAACGCTATCCTTGTATTAGTGGTTAACAATGAAATTCAATTCATCTATCAGAATTAAAAATTGTGTTGATTTTATTGCTTACTATAGTTTATCTTCCTACTCTTTAGCACTAACTTGAAATCAGATAAACAGAAAACATTTGCAGGGAAGGGATTTGATCAGTTTGCCCATTTTGGCAAGGAGAATGCCCCTCAAGTGTGTACAACATAGTTAACTGTTCCAAAGTGAATGTCAGACCGCCACTCTCCAAGAGGGACAGCCTCCCACCAGGCATCTTAAAAGTTCAGAACCCCTCCAATTTGTAAAAACAATGCAAGCTCCAAAGCCCTGAAAAAAGCTTATAAATTTTAGAGTACAACTTTTATGATATGCTGACACAGGGAATCTCATAGTAAGGTACTCAAACAGTGAAGATTCCTTTATATACACCTTAGTAGGCTGCTGCTGCCTTCAGTCAGCAAGTAGCACATCATGGAAGATCTGGAACCACAGCAACAACTCTGTGCTACAGTCAAGCATTTGTAATATTAACAAATTTGAGGAGGGGGGTGGGGAGCGGAGATTTTGTTTTGTAAGAGGAAAATACTTCTCAAGTCTCACATAATACATTTTCTCCCCCACCTTTATTTTCACTGTCTGATGGAACATCATCAATAGTGTGCCAGGAATGTTCTATCGCCTGATCCCAGAAGTCTGCTGCATTTCAAGAATCACAGGCACATTCCCTGCTCAGGAACACACAGCAGAAAAAGTGTGAAAGGTCTGTTATATTAGTTTTAGAAGCCATATAAGAAACATGTATGTAATCTTAATCTTTCCTGTTGGTAAAGTCTGTTAACCTAGTTAATCCACAGGTATGATGATATGTATCTCAACACCGAATGAAACAAGTGTAATAAGCCTTTAAAGTATATAGAAAACTCAGTTCTGTCCTCTGATGCTGTTTTCAAGTTTGTTTTATTCACTCGTTTGGGATGACTATAAATAAGTGTTTCCACTGTGGAAAAGAAAGTTAGCACAGTACATTTTCATGACTGGGGAATGGATTTTCTGAAGACATCTTCAAAAGGGCAAAAGCTTAGAAAAAACAACCTGAACGTTGAATTCAGTTCCTTATAAAGTCCCTTGTAAAAAAAAAAAAAAAAAAAAAAAAGAAAGAAAAAAAAGTAAAGGAAAAACTGCAAGGCCCAGGATGATTTATTGCTTTTCTTCAGTTTTTTCCTTGGTCTCTTTCTTCTCAGATTCTTTGCTCTCTTCCTTTACAGAAAGCTCTTCTAGTTTTTCAGCAACTTTATCAGCACTATCATTTTTGTCTGTGCCTGCTAAGAGATTGATTAGGAAAAAAGGTTACATACAGGCAGTAATGGATTTTCCTGTTACAGGGGAAAGAGCAGAGAAGTGGAGGGCGAGAGGGGTGGGGAGAGACAGCTGGTATTTAGAGTAAGAACAGAAGTAAAGAAATTCTCCACTGAGCACTGGAGTGATTAATTCAATTTCTTTTCCTTTAGTAACTACCCCAGATGTCAGAATTCAAGAAATTCCACTTGCATATTTTCATCACTAAATGAGGGCCTAAATCATAGTGACTGAGAAACACGTAACATTTGGTCAGCTTTGCTGCTACCAGTAACAGACTCTATAGAGTGTCCAGTGCAGTAAGTGTCTCGGGTCCCTAGCTTCTTGCCTGTCTTAATCAAAAAAAAAGTCAAGTTCCCCAGTTTGAAACTGGGGAATAGGAAGTTCTTAAGACTGAAAAATTCCGACCTAAATATCTTGAAGAGCGTTGACTGCACACCATTAGTAAGTGTTTATTTTACATGGTGAGATATCTTGTCACATAGGCAATTCTACGAGGTGGTGTGTTAATCTATTCAATAAAAAGACCTGTGAAGAAATGCTACAACTTCATACACGTTAACAACTATAAACATTAAGTATTCTACTTGCATGACTACATATTTGTGGGATTTGGGCAGGGGAACTGGAAGGAGGAAATATCACCGCGATTGCAGTGTTCACAGTTCATTTGTGTAGTATGAACCAGACATGCTTCCTTAGTAGCCCTTCCAAAAAAGCAATGTCCCAACAGCAATTGTAACAGCCTTCTACAAGAAAGAAGGCAATTGTCACTCCTGTGAACTATTACTCTCGCAGACAGAAAAAGCACCTGAACTGAAGGCTGCAGTTCAGGACAGAGTGAGTCTGCTAAAACACAGTCATACTCCAGGGGGCTACAACCACTCAAAAAGCTAGAAAAAGTGGCACGGTACTACACTTAGACTTTTAACCTTACCTTTCTTTGCTCTCTTGTCTACTTCATTCCTGCATTCTTCAAATTTTGCCTTGAATTTCTGTGCATCTGTTTCAGTAAAGACAGAATATTTTTTCCATTAGTTTTACCTCCTTGCAACATTGAGTACTTCCAATCTTGAGGAAAGATACCTGAGGAGAAGTTTTGTGTAAACAAAACTTGTAGGCACTTAGGAAGTAATCTAGTTTAAAAAAATCATAGAAGATGCTATGAAAAATTCTTGAATCACATCTTTGTGCAGAAACAGTTTATTTTCTTTAGCAAGTCTATTAAAGCAGCTTATTTTGCAAAATATTTAAAACATAATGCCAGAAGGAGCTGTTTTGTAGTCATTGCAACTCCCAGCTGTCCCTAGCCTAAAGGAATAAGAATATGATGTCAGACACTGCTAATACAACTATCTGTGTGCAAAAGACTGAAGATTAGCTTTGAACTACTATCCTTGTCAGCTACATTATACCCTAAAAGACCTCCACATTCTCACCATAACTTAGGGTTCTTAGCATCAAGAACAAAACACAATGTTTCATTGGTACAGCATTGAGATTCAATACCCAAAGGCCTGGACTCAAGCTATTCCTGACTACAATAGCTAAGGAAGCATTACCTTCATTGTGTTTTGATCTAAGCCACCACTTGATTTCACAGTCATTCCAAGCAGTTTATCAAGTTACAATAATGTTTCTACAGAAGCAATACAAGCAACAAGACACAAAAGCGGATCAGGAAAGGTACTTTCTAACACCAGAACTATAAAGGTAACTTGGTATGCCAATTTGGTTTGAATGACCACATGAGGTCACTGTTGCCCCACAGGAATTCAGAAGCCGCTATGAAACTAGTCCAGGAAGTATTTGCATCAATTCCTTTTCAAGTATCTCAAAAAGGAAAGACGCTTGAAGGGCACACTTATGTCTGTTCACCTGTCACCTTCTTAGTCAGTACTGCAAAGGGTAAACAGGCAAAGAGGACTACTCCCTCAAGACAGAACACTCATAAGCTGAACAACTTCTACCAGAAAGAGGGAAAGACTTTTCAAAGATGAGCAAATAGTTACCCAAAACCTTTAATTTCATATTTGATTAAGAAAGAAGCAAGCACTAAGCAGGTGGATCAGAAAGATTTATTTGGCTAAACAGTATGATGTTGGAGGCTTGAGGAAAAGGAAGCAAGCAAGATATACCAAGTTCTTCCCAGATGTAGGCAAATCCATCTAGTTTTAAAATATACAGCCACTTCATTAGCCATCTAGCATGCAGGGAGAAGAGGTGGCTAACACACTAAACTTGTGCAAAAATGGTAAAGCAGGAAACGCAATAACTTCTTTCCTCTTTCATTTTGCTTCTTTTTTCAAGAAAAAAGCCCACTTCTTTGATTCAATCCTAAGGCATTGGGAAATCTACACAGTCGTTCAGCTCTACTATCTGATCCATATGTAATTACAGACCTACTTTCTGTTCTGGTAGTCAATGTAGTCACTCTAGAAAAACCCACCACCTAGTATAATAATTGGGTTTGACTAGCACTTTTCACTGAGTGTTCCATTTCATCAAAACAAAGATACTACATACTTCATTTAAAAAAAAAAATCAGATGTTCTGCTAATGCAGGTGGACCAGAAATCTCAGGTCAGTATTTCCTTGTTTCTAATGCAAAAAATGTAATCTTAACTACAACTGAGCACCTGAGATAAATGAAAGCAAGCTGCATGTATTAATCTCTACCCCACAGTAGTACTGCTTTTAGTTTTATTCTAACTGGCATTACACTTGCATGAAATGGCTTAAGTTAAAAAAAGTGCCTAGGGCAGAAAGCTCTAGAATTACTACTGGAGACCTAATTATTACACTGTTTGTCAACACGTATGGTTAAGTGATTAACTGACTTCTCTCAGTTAAAGCAGTAATTAGCTAACACTACCATGCAGCAGTAAGATGTAGCATATCTACAACAGTGGTTTACAGTAGTGTTTAGACATGTAGTGTAACATAACAGTATACAATCAACGTAAGTTCAGTGCCAGTCCACTCACTCTCTGCATTTAAAAATCGGATTGCCAGAAGTTCAGGCTTGGGGCTTTCATCTGCAAAGTCAGCATGTGTGTTCCAGACCCATGCCCTGTCGCTCCCAGCATTAGGCTTCAGCTCCATTAAGGGTGTGACTGAAAAGAAAGCATTAAAAGATGTTCGCAGCACAATAGTAAATGTTTTCCACACCAGCCTCCATAAATCTTACTGACAACTGACTGCGATGGTTACATAAAGCACTTTACACAGAATTACTTTTGGATAAATAGAAGACAATGGTGCCCATATATATTTTTCCTTACGTCCTCAAATAAAATGATGCAAGACCATTACTGTATAAAAGAATGCTAGATTCCCTATTGTTAAGAAACTGAGAGTTTAATTCAACTCTTGTTTAAAACAGATGACTGTGATACTAAGAGAGATGCAGTCACTAAGCACAACGCTGAAGAACAGTCGAATGGTTTAGGAGGAAAAGGCATCCAGGCAGACAAACAGCATTCATTCTTCTTTTGCACACTGAAAATACTACATACTACAAAAAAAAAATTTAAAAAAGCATTATTCCTACAATTAGTCATCGAGTCAGGTTCATTTCTCTCCCATCAGTTTAAAGCTCTACTACAAGGTATTAAAGAATTCTGCAGTGCTGCAAGATGTGCACAGCATATTTTTCAATCCCTTCATTCCTCCCCAGTACACGGAGCCCTTTCCCTCCAAGACACTATAGACTGATTGGAGGAGTTGGAATGTTACTTCTCATACTACGCTAAGACTTTTTACATTACACACATGCAAAGTTTAAGCAGGGCTTTTTTTCTCCCCAACCCCTGGGTCCTTTGTTTAGTTCGGAAGAAATGTGAAGTCTACTCACTTTCTTCCATTTTTTAAATTTAGAGATCAAATTACATTTTGTTTCATTTAATGTTTTGCAAAAATGAAAAGTCCTTTTGTCTGCCTATGAGTCAGCAGAAATTCAATAAAGAAATCTATACTGAAAGCAGTTTTTCCTGGGAAAAAAACCAGTTTTGACATGAACACTATAAATTTATCAATTCTGTTTTGCATATGCACAACATTTCTTTTCCTAAACAAAAGGGTTATTCTTACTGGTTGGTGACTACACTGCTTTCATATTTGCCATTTCATTTACTAAACAGGAACACCTGTATCCTCCGAACAGCCTGACTCTCTGACGAGATCTACCCAAAGAAAATAAGCATTATTGCTTCTGACTTCAGATTTGTGTTAAGTTACTTCAAACAAGTTATTTCAAGTTATCTAAATGTAGTTTAACTCCACAAAGTACTATATACAAGTCTTCATATAAGAACCTGAGTATTACCAAAGCAAGCAAGTAACAAAGTATTACCAAATTAGTCTACTTGTTGCTAGTTATATTGACTTTCAAGTCTGTCTTGCCCTTTCATGTTTATTTTTATTCAAAGCGGATCAAAGGAACAAACCTCTCCTGCTCCATCAGCTCTCAATACGCATTCTTTTTGAATGAGTTCGCTGAATATACCACGTTCATTTCAGTTTATTTCACAAGCAGAGAAAGGCAGCCACGGATTAGTTTAGCACCTCAGTATCTGTTTTCTGACGGTTAAGCAATCGCTTCTACCAATTCAAACATTTAGCTCAAAATAGTAAATTATTACATGACTGCTTATTTCTCATTCTTTTATGAAAACAAGCCAGCATACATTAATTTCTTATCCTCAACAGTATTAAGGCCTGTATTTTCTACACTTTATTAATCATTAAAAAACCACACACACACACCGGGAGCAATCACATAATATCTGTCTATCCCAGACAAATTTTAAAGTGTCTTTAGAACGCTATCAGTCTGAAGAAAAAAAACAACTTTAAGACTCAGCCTTGCAGGCAATCACCAAAACCAACTACAGCTTCTTCCCATTAATAAAAATAAGCACTCATTGATTTTGAGGCTTGTAGCCTTGTGTGCAGAGCAAGAGACAACTATATTTACAGTCTAATATAAATTTGATGCCTCTTTAAAGACATACAATAATTCTCTAGCTGCTACTAAAAAGCCACTGAGCTCTTAATCTACAATGTACAATTCTACAAGCTTATTTTTTAAAAACAAAAATAAGAAGTATAGCAACGTATAACATACTGTAATGGTTTGCACAGATTTTTAGGGTTTTATCCCTCCTCATGAGGAGGCGAATTGTTCCCTTCTCCTTGTGTTTCAGGAGTTTTACATCACCAGTTCCTCGTTCTTTCCATTCTGGAAGGTCATTCTCAGATGCAAATCGGAATAGCTTTGCTCGCCTTGAAGAAGAGAGAATTTAAGAAGTTAGCCTGCGTGCAGAAACATTTATTGAAACAGCATACTCGACTGAGCAGTATGGCTGTTTTTTTAAAAGCCACACACAAGAAAGAAAACAATTCCTTTTGTAAGTTTCCCTGTTCTACTTCAGCATGCAAATTTAGAAACTGATATGATAAATTCAAATTTAATAATAAACTATTAAGAATTATGTAATAGCTATACTAAAATTCAACAGGTTCTGGACACACATTTGGGGGATGATAAACATATTTGGTGTAGGCAACCTTTTAGATTAAGGTAGCTAATTAACAGGTTTTGCTATAGCTAGAGTTCTTTTATATATATATAAAGAATACAACTGCTACATCTAACCAGCAGTATTTATTAATTCAAGAAATTGAGCAGCTTGAGGCTAAGTGAAGACTCCTGTATCATTCCAAGCCCAATGTTTGATCAACTGTTAACAAAGTGCCCCACCCTCTACAGTCACTCATTTCCTTTTAACTCCAAAAACCTAGTTGTTGCTATTCTTAAATCAGGAATAAAAGCAGCTTAGTGCTGCACTGCAGTGCAACGTAACTGCTTCAGAACATTACTGCTTAATCTTCCAAGATGCCAGCAGGCCAAAAGAGAAACAGGAGTAGTTTGGGACATTAGTCAGAACTGACCCAAGAGACAGTCTGAGCTCTGCTAGTGAGGAGTTTAAGACACTGCTATAGGAAAGGAAGCACCTGCTCACACTACAGGATATACAAAAAAATACACTTTTATAGAAAAGAGCAAGGGACAGGGACTTGTAATAAGCCAGGTCCTTCAAGAGTAGGTGGCAGATGTTGGAGCAAGCTACTCTAACAGATGCTCTGATGCAGATGAACTACTTTGTTCCAAAGCAAGTCCTTCCTTCCAAGTCCAGCTGGCATTCAGTAGGCGATTCCCCTAAGTTTAGCTATCAGAACAACCAGCATCCAAAAAAAGGATTCCTTTCCTCCTTCACCCCTTTGTAGACATAAAAATGAACCTACAGAGCACTGGAACGTACACTATTATTTCCCCCCCTCCTTTTTAAATAAAAAATTTTTCTTTCCATTCGATTCTGCACATCACATGTGCAGAGAGGCCTAATGGTCAGAGAGCTCACTGCGCCACTTGTCAGAAACTGACCATCACTTTAGTTTTTACCAGAAGCTGTATAAGGAGAACCCCAAATCTCTCTTCCAGATGAACAATACCTGTCTGCGATTAAGTAAAAGCAGTATTTTTTAAACCTATTTAAAGCAAACACATCATGGATCAAATTCAAAACTCTTCTAAAGCCTTTAGCCTACATGTTTGTTCAGGCAGATCACACATCTTAAGCAAGCTATCCTGATTTGACAATAAGCCCAATCTAAGGATAAAACTCTGTTTAAGACAACAGAAAGGTACTGCCACAAATGCCCCAATATTGTACTGCATCTATTGCTTTTATTGCTTCAGTATATCATACATCACCCTATACAACTAGGGATGCACGGCAGCAACACTATATACATCTCATTCCCCCTCCCCTCCCCCCCCCGATACTCGTTTTATACTGTGATTACACAATTTCAAACCTCTAATTATTATCCAAGTTAACGTTTTCTTTTAGGCCAAACAATAGTAAAGCCAGATTTGTAATATCAGCTCCCTTCCATTGTTCCAGACTTCAGAATTTCTTGGGACATTATTATCAATCATCCCCCCAGTCAATCTCTGCCATCACAGTAAACACCAACCAACTTAGATTACCACTTCATACACAGATTCCTAACGAGTTATCTAGCTTTTTATAAACACATTCAAGTTTAAGCCTAATAAACATTTAGATAATATACAGAAATATTTATTTACATCTTAAAGAGTTCTTCCTCATCCTCTTCCAGAGTTTTTATTTCTTGCTCAGGAAGGGAAACTATGGGCTCAAACTGAGGATCATGGTTAGAATCATCTGCATTTTCAGTAGAAGTATCATGCTCCTCATGTGTTTCCTGGAGAGAGAAAAAAAAAAACCACGCACAAAACTTGCTATGTATTTAAAATCTGAAGTACTCATATCTGTGTTTAAAATGAAAACATTTATGATTATTCAGCAATTAGATCTTAGTAACTGAAATACCCTGTAACAATAAAGAAAAATTATTATAGCTGAAAACAAATGGCTTTAAAGTCAACATACAAAGGAAAAAAAAAAAAGGTGCTCTTGCCATGCTAGATGTTTTAGTCCTACCACTCTTATTAATTGTGCAGAGGTTCAGCCTTGGAGCAAATAGCTCTTGGTTATGGAAAAATAATTTCTTCAACTATTTTTCCTATATAATGTGTTTTATGCTACTAAAGCACTACTATTTCTTAATGACCTATCATTAATGGGAAAAAAGAAAAAAAAACACAACACCAAAGCAACCACCTACCCCAGCTTAAGGAACACATTACATCCAGAAGTTCATTATTCCAGTCTCATGTATAAGAATCACCCACAATCAAAGGTATTTTTGAAGCACAGTTGCAACACTGATGAAATAATTTAAGTTTTTTGCTTTAAGGCTTTTTGGGGAACTTTAAGTTATGCGTAAATGGCCAAAACACTACTTCCTATTCAGTTATTCAGGAATCTGTCACAGCATTTGTTAAACATAAGAATTGTTTTTAGTATGTGACTAGTAAGTAAATGATAAACATCTCTAATGCTTCATACATATGCACTGCTAAGAAGCATTCAGCAGAGAAGCCTAGAAGGGAGATTCATCTGCAAGTTTAATGAGGCCACGAACAGCTATCTCGGGTCAAGGGAACTGATCTGGGGTTTTTTGTTGTTTGAATAACAGAGAAAGGAAAGCCTGTCTATACATTGAAGACACTTAAATCTTATTTTCGCTTTACAGACAAAAGAGTCCACTCCTACAGGCTCTATTTAGAATATCCTTTACAGAGCAGTACACACCACACATGCATAAAGCAACTGAAAAAGAAAAGAAAAGAAAAGAAAAGAAAAGAAAAGAAAAGAAAAGAAAAGAAAAGAAAATTTAGGTAAGAAATGTTGCAAAATAAATTCTGGTTATGTCAACAACACCACACTGGCTATCATCAGTTTTATGTCCCCAGCGTTCCAGTATGTAAGAAAAAAAGCGAGAAAGACACCAAGTCACATCTGTTTTCAAGAAACAGGAAAAGAAACAGTGGCCAAACTTTTATATCTTGTCTCCTCCCGCAGTAAGCAGCACATCCCGCATCGTAAATCATCATCCGTTCTGCGCCTGACCGGTTAATTACAGAAGCCAGGAGGAATGCGCAATTCACAACAGCCACATGTGAGAGAAAGTAGGTCCTGTTATCACGATAAGATCCCGCCCCGCCGCGATACAGAGCACGTGGGGCGACTCCTCTCGCCGGGCCACGGCACGAAGGGTTCAGCCGGCCGGGCTGGGGGGAGGGGCGGAAGAGAGGGAGAAGGAAGAAGGGAGACGGGCAGCGGGATCGCTCAAAAGCGCCCGCGCCGCAGCCGAGGGGC